AAAACTAGCCTTGTTTCTCACTGAATGGCTTGAGTAAAGTCTTTTGTCACATCCATAGTAAAGTCTTAAAAGTCCAGGATTGCAGTCAGACTCTGTCATAAACAGGAGCATTGCCTTTTTGACTTACTCCTACTATAAAACCAAAGGCTTCATTAATCTCATGTAGCGCTGTAGTGAGGAAAAAAAAAAGGAAAGAAAAGAGTAGGCAAGCTGCGATAAGGTAGCTTTAATGATTTTGGGAGGTTTATTGGCTGTACATCTTTGGTCAATCTCAAGCCACACTAGTTCTCTCAGTGAAGCTTTTCTTTTCTAAAAATAATGGTACCACAGATTACAATTACACAGTAGAGTCATTCAACAATGCTTCAATTCCTTATTTCTTTAACACACCAGAAATAAAAAAAAAAAAAAGGCTTTTGGTCTACAGAGGTATGGTAAAAGTCTTTTACTTGAAAGTACTTCATCGTATCAGTTTTTCTAAAGTGATGCCACTCATGTCTTTAATTTGATGGAGGCAGCAAGTTTTAGGCCAAGAGGCTCTTGTCTTGTTACACAAGTCATTGGTCATCAAACATCTTATGTATAGAAACCATTGTAGGCTTTAGCTGTGATCCTGAGGGCATGTCTTGGGGTAAGAAGTATTTAATGTTTGTAACTTTTAGATAAGATCATGTGAGCAAGCTGTACAATAGATACAGGTTCAAATGAATGCAGTTCTTACCAGGCTTTTGGATGCTCTGGTCATCTTCTGAATAAACGCCATCCTGCAATGTGATCTTGGCTGTCTGCCACAGGGAAGGCTGCCTGTTAGAGACGTCCTGGTTTAAATACAGAAATGCAGCCTGGGTACCAGGGTGAGGTTCATGTGCAACAACAGGGCATGCATTGCTTTTCTCTTTCTGTAGACTAAAACAGCCTCTATTGTTTACTGATGTAAATTTTCCCGTCATGATGAACGGTAACTGGACTCAGCTGTTTGTAATTTTGCTGGAGCAATTTTTAGACTATCCCTTCTACATTCCTATTTTCCAAATGAGCTGGTGAAAGCAGCAAGGAACATATTACATCTATGCACAGACATTCACCCTGTCAACTGGTTTTTCAGAATCCTTTATATTCTGTTCAGTGAGTGTTGGGGTTTGACCTTGACTAAATACCAGGCACTTCTTCTCTCTCTTGCTGAAGATGTGCAGGAGAGGGGAAGAAAAAAACCTGTAAAAACACACACTAATCTCAGAAGTTAAATTAGATAGGACACTGGTAGGAGGATGCACGGAAGAAAAGGGCAGACAGGCTCCAAACTTAAAGTTCCAAAGTGATTTAATTACTAACAGAGTTGGAGGATAAATGAGAGGTAAAAATAAGCTTTTCATACACCATTTTGTTTACTCACCCCCTCCCTCTTAAGACAGCATTTTCTACTCACCCCCGCTCCCCCTTTCTAACCAACAGCTCGGGTAGGGGGACAGGGCATGGGATATTTTTAAGTCCATAGAGCAGGTCTATAAAACTATTCATCACCACAATTCTTCTACCACAAATACTCTTTATTTCTACTTACATTTCTCTCTCTCTTGACAATTTCTCCACTCTCACCCCCTCTCTCTTAAGAAGCAGTCTCTCCGCTCACCCCCCTTCCCTCTTTCCAAACCAACAGCTTGGGCAGGGGCAGGGTAAGGGGTTTGTTCTCTGGTCAGTCTATCAGGGAGAGGAGTCTTCTACTTAGCCACGGAGTCTCTCCCACGAGAGACAGTCCTCTGGGAACTTCTTTGGCATGGGTCCAATCTCACAAGCAACATCCTGCCCAAATTCTGTGCAACATGAGTCTCGTTGTCCATAGGGTGCTGTGCAGACTCTCCTGAGCTGAGGCCAAGCTGCTTCCATGCCAGGAGCAAGGCGTTTCTCTCCTTTGCAAGGCCTTTGCAACTTTAACTCTTAGATGAGACTCCCACTGGTTCACAGCTTCTTCCAGGCATTCACCTTCTCCTCTGGTGTGGGCTGTGGGTGAACTTCTGCATTCTTGTGGACTCCATGGGCTGCAGGGGGACCTCCTGCTCCCCCAATGGTCTTCACCATGGTTAGCAGAGGGTTTTTAGCTCCAGCGCCTGGAGCACCTCCTCCCCCACCTTCTTCACTGACCTTGGTGTCTCCATGTTGTTTTCCCTTCATATATTTTTACCTCCACCTCCTCTAACTACAAAGAAGTGCGTGACTACCTTGTTTTGATTTTTTCTTAAATATGTTTTCACAGAGGTGTAACTAACACCTCCAATTGGCCCAAACTTGGCTGGCAGCATGTCTATCACTTTCAGAGCCATCAGAGATTGGACTTGGTGGAAAACTTCTAGAACTTTTACTCAGGACACACAGGAGCCATCTTTGTGCCACTCCCCACCCCTCAGGCACTTCCTCAGGCCTACTACAACAGCTTCTGAGGGGTTTAAATTTCTCTTAGATGTTAAAGATATCTTGCTGAAGTATGGGCCACTCAAAACCACCACAGTGCGTAAGCATCTTCTCCCACTGAAACTTCATTTTATAGTACTATTGTGAGAAATTACTGTGTTGTCCTTTCTAGTGGGTTTTGTTTCCCATATTCTAAGTTGGTTTTATGTGAGTTGTTTCTTAAATTTTTTTTTTAATTTACATTGCAATGGGTTCCTTTTGTGAACAGCCAGCTTATTTACTGGAGCTTCAGCATCCAGGGGTTGCAGGAGTTACCTCATGGAAGAGGCTCTCATAACACAAGGTCTTAAGCAAAACTAGAGAAATCAAATTCCTACATCATATTTTTTCAGGTCCACAAGGGAGGACTGGCCTAAGATTTTAGAACATATTCACAAAAGCTACTGAGAAATTAAGGAACCTTGTAAAACTGCTTTCAGTCATCTTACAAGTAAAACTAATCTATGAATAATGTAGATACTAAAATATCAGTTATGTGTTCACATGGACCCTTTAGCGACAACAGTAAGGAAATTGACTAATGTTGCAGTCATTACATGATGGGGAAGTTGGCCCACAGCCCAACCCAGCAATGTTAAACACCACATTTCTTCTACCAAAGTAATTTCTGATTGCAGTATCTATTTGCAGCTCAAGTAACTCAATGTGGGAGACTTGGACTAGCTCAGAAAGGGCTGTGTTTTCATAGTGTAATTGTGTCTCTTGATGAAGTTGGACATCAGAAATCAAATATGCCTTTTGAACAAAAGGCATCATATTTCCAGTGGTAGTTTTGACTCAGAATATTTTAACCCAAGACAAATTTGAGTTTTAGACATTCTTGAGATGCTAAACCGCTTCAAATCAGGATTTAGGTTGGTTTCTGTCTGCATATCCTTGAAGATGTTAATGTTGCAAATTTTCTAGATCTCCCTCTCTTTCCTATGGGCTTCAATAAATTGAATTTATTTTTTCTGATTGTATCAATTTATTTAATACCTAATGTCTATTTTAAATACCACTGATAAAAAATAAGCTAAAATACAAATGAATGCATGAATGAAAGAAGGTTCTGGGACAATATGAACTCTCAGAAATCAGTAATAGACACAGGTTTCTAATTCTTTGAGATCCACAGCACAAAACTACATAATAACTGTGTAACAGTCACACTTTAGTATAACCCTCACACTGTGAGCTCCCATCTTGAAAAATGTGGAAAGAAAGAATTACTATTGTGGACCTCCATCATGCCTAGTACTACCTTGCTGAAATTGAACAATCTATTTTTTTTAAAAACCATCCTAGTGGCCTGGACTGCTTCCAGGTCAATGACAACCATGGGAGGTCTGTATTCAAAATTAGCTGTCATGGAAGTGTTTCCAGATGTAATAGTGGGAAGGCCACCTGAACATTTGTTGTGACTAAAACTTCCAACTGTAGCCTATAATCTCATGAGAACTTGTTTTTCTTTCTCCAGTAACATAAGGCAGGCACTTTTATGGGAAGATAAAGAAAACTCCTAGAAAAGCTCATCTATCTCATTTATGAATGCACCAGGAAGCAATGGGTTGACTCAGCCCATTCTTGAGGTTTTAGCAAGAAATAGACATCCCCAAATTAGATTCTGCATTTGAACTTACCAAGAATACTGAGTTTATTTAAATTTATTTTGAATTAAGGGTTAACACACAGTGTATATTGCCTTGGAATAGAGCCCTCTAATCTGTTTACATTGCTCTATGTACACAGTTGTGATGAGCAAATCACTGCAGTAAGTTTTTCTGTGTGATAATGTGGTTTATCAGGCTATTCTGAAACTATGAAATGATAGGATTGTTAGGAGAAGCCTGGCTAATATGTTTTCTTCTGTAACAGCATGCCATAGCCACAAACTATGCTAGTGATAAGAAAAAAAGGCAACCCATGTTGTCAGATTGTGTATCTTATTTACCCAAGGTTGCATACAGAGTAACTGTACAGAAAACAAGATAATGTATTTATATTCTGTTTTAACTTGAGTCAGAAACACCTCTTCAGAATGGAGTATATATATCTATTTAATGACAGCATCATACCTTGGGGTTTTTTTGTTGTTGTTGTTGGATTGCGGAGATGTAGGGTTTTTTCTTAAATTCTGTTTTTGCCTAGTAGGGAGTCAATATTTATAACCCACCCTCTTTGAGAACAATTTTTAAATATTTCAATACCAAGAGAGAACTTGTTTCCAGATTCACTTTCAGGCTGGAGTCAAGAAATTGAAGCAATGAGAGTTTAAAAAGAAAAGCAAAGAGGAGCCAGAAGAAAAAACTTGTTCAGTTGTTGAATTTCTCACTAGGAAGCTCTTTCTGTAAAACCTGTCTCTCTGTAAAACCAATTAGTCACTGACACCAGACAGAGCAAGAGGTTTCTACACCAAGAAAGGGAGAAATTAAATAATGAGGAAGGTAATACTGGAAAACACAAATATGGATAATGAGTTACAAATATTAACAGTCTTGCACCATTTGCTATTTTTGGTGAAATTTCTCATATAATTGTTCTCTTTTCCAGGGACCGAGCTCCCTTCATCTTCACATCAGAGATGGAATATTTCATAACAGAGGGTGGAAAAAACCCACAGCGTTTTCAGGAATTTGTGGAGCTTTGTTGTCGAGCTTATAATATAGTCAGGAAACACAGCCAGCTACTCCTGAACCTGCTAGAGATGGTAATGATGAAACGATGCTCAACGATGAAACAAAAATATTAATTTTCTCCGGGGTTCTCTTCCCTTTTACCACTTCTCTTCTGCCTCTACTAGCACTGTGATTTGTGGAGGTATCAGGTGCACAGCTGAAAATGCTGGTGCTGCACTTCTTGTGCAAAGAAGCTGTCCACTTTCCATACTAATTTCTGGGAAAAGGAAAGCTAAGCTGCTTGGTTTTTTTCCATTTTATAATGCATTAATTTTTAAAAAATAACAGAAAACTGCAAAAGAAGCTAGGTAAAAGTTTCACATTCAGGAATTTCACTCAGCGCTTTTTCTAGGTCTAGGAGAAATCATTTACCATTCCTGCTCGTGGTTACAGGACAAAGTAAGCTAAACATTTCACTGAGTGGGGGATTTCTCAGTACTTAGCAGCTCTGCACTACAACGATGCCATTAGAATGGCAGGGTTTGCACATTTCCACAGTCCCTTATTAGGACAGCAAACACAGGAAAGAAGAAGCACTGCCCATATTGACACGGGTTTAAAAATTCTTTTGTATAGGTTTTTAAGACCTCTAGGAGTTTTTATCCTTTAGTATTCCTACTGATTCATGTGCTGTGGCAAATTCCATATCTGATTTATGCCTCTATTTACTTGCTTGTGAAAGGGTAATGATTTTCCCCTTCATGGGTACAAGAAGAATATTACATTAACTAATATTTGCTAAAATGCTTGGCTAAGATATCAATCCAAAATTTATATGCGGGGCCCCATGACCTAGGGCACTGGTCTGTGCATGAAAAATTCTACATGGCCTTATAAAAAGAGCTCCTCCTGAGACTGGGGTACAGCCAAAAAGTTGCTCTGAAAACACTACTTTATCATCTCCAATTTATACAATGGGGGAGGGTGAGAGAAATGGAAGGAATCTCTCATCGTGCCTCTTCCATCTTGTCTGTGGATTCTCATGCAGTGATTCAGTGAGAGAGTCCCTAATATGGAGCAGGAAAGATTGCTCCAGATGTCTTAACCTTGCTGCTAAGTAGTCATAAAGGTGCAACAAAGCAGATTCCCATCATAAAGCTCAATTTTATGGAATTACTACCATTATGGAATTACTACCAATTAATTCCATCATGGAATTACTACCAATTCCACTACTGGAAGTAGTGCAGTGAAGTTGCAGGAGATCCTATCCAAGTTAAAGAGCCTCTGGAGAACTTAGGAGTACCCTTGTTCTCCCATCCACAGCAGTAATCCCTGAATTTCTGAAAAGGTTGCCTAAAACTGCATGGTGCAAATAAAGCCCCTTCTTCTGCCTGTCTCCTTGTCCCCAGAGCAGTCCCTCTTTTGGCAAGCAGCAGAGATAATGATGTTYGATTACTCTGGGGTAATAGAGAGAGCGTKTTAGGAAAATGCTCCTGGCAGGAGCTCTGAAATAACCAGCTATCTCTGCCTGGATATAGCTCAGGTTTGTCTATATTCAGTACATGCTACACCTTTTGTTTCTGCTGATCTGGAAGCAGATGTAATAGAGATGGGCTAAAAGTCAGCATCCAGATATGTCTTAATATTTGTCAGTAGGCTGCAGCTCAGTCAGTTGTGTTGCAGTTTGTAACTGAAAAATAACTAGTAGCATACTCATACCCCATCAATGAGCTCTTCATAGAAAAAGGAATTAGAGAAGCCCAGTTTGGAAACACCTGGCTTTTGCCAATAATGCTTGGAAGGGTGAGTCTGTTTCTGCACTTGAAGTGGGGTGTTGGTCAGAATCGGTAAATGTCAAAATGTTTTAGTTCTATGGATTATTTGTGGAAAAAAATAAATAGACTGTGAAATTCCATTTTGAATTAATTTGCGTACAGAATTTCAGACATTATCATGCAGGGATAAGGTTAACTGACCACTGCATATTTGATAGTCTAAGATTTCTTTCACTGTATGGGAATCTGTATCATTAATTCTACTCCCACATTCTATTTTCCCAGATGCTATTTGTAAAGCATGGTTAAAAAAAATTAGCAATAAGACTATTTCTAAAAAACAGAGTAGTTTACAGGAGTAGTAAACTGCACCCTGGCTGATCAGCAACAATTAGTAGTTTCTAGCAAACCTGATTGTAACAAATTGAGGGATTTTTGGCCTAGTTTGGGAATTAATGTTATTTCTTGGTTGTGAGCAGCATGTTTGTAAAGCTGTACAGATGTTTGCTACTGGGAGTAAGAAATAATCCATGAAGTTTCCATCAAAGCAGAAACAAAAGTTTCCACAGAAGTTTCCACAAAAGCAGAAACCTCTGTGGGAGACCTGAGATTCTGCTGGCAGAATTCATCTGTGCCTGTAGTTCATCAGTTTTGTTCTCAGTAAAGATTTTATGTGAACAATTATAAATAGGGTGATGGCAGAACACAAACACCTTCTGACTAGTTTGAAGAAATGCACACTCCATTATTGTTACAAAGATTTTATCATGTAGAAAGTTATGAAAAGGGACTTAGAGATTACAGTAATTTATCTACGTGCCTCCACTGTGATCAGAAACAGATCAACTTGACAGTATAAAACAGGAAACCTGCACCTGGATAGAACAGAACTAAACTCAGAAATACTGTGTCCCCATAAAAATCATTTTACCCCTTCTAAATTCAGAAACAACAACTGGGAAAAGAGATTCAAGAAATGCCTCCCTTTTGGAGGTCTAACCAATGGAAATGCCAGGACTATTTCCTTTTCCATGGTGTGCTGAGCATCATGGGTCAGCTCTGAGTCCAGGCCCGAGGAGAGTGTAGAGCGAGCTCCACTCAGTGGGTCAGGAGGTCTGAGAGGGCCAAGTGGGGTTGGTCAAGCCATATGGGTGGCCAAACAAAAGGAGCAATGCACGCACTTGAACTTAGGCATCCAAGTGACATTTGAGTTGCCTGATGGGACCTGGAGTTGTTTTCATGACAATTGTTCCACGTCTTGTCTAATAAACATCCAGTATCAGTAGCCACAGTGTTGAGATGCCTCCTCCGTCAGGGAACTAGGAACATAAAAAATATGCTGTATGGAGCAAAAGGGGTGAAGGAGGATAACAAGCCTCTAGGATACCCCTGCAGCCAGGTAAAGACTTTCTTTTCTGGCTGGTTTTTTTTGCTTCAACAAATGGTTTTCCACCTTTAATAGTGCAGAAAACTTTAAAAAATCTTGGCTTTTAGTTTCATTAAGATTGTGATTATATCTGGTATCATTCCCTTTTCTAGTGAAGGGCAAGGAGCTTAATTTGCCTAAGCAGCAACCTTTTTTTTTTTTAATTTTATTTAAAGGGGGCAGGAGTTGTTGTCATCTTTTATAAATGGGCTGAAGCTACATTGATAAATAACACTGCGTGTCCTTCACTGCTGAATATTGTTATTGTCCCTGCTATCAACCATCTTAAATTCACCTCACTGGACTTTCTGCCTCTCTGTTCCTTGCCAGCCAAAACTCTGTGGAGACAGCAATCTAAATGTCCAGTGGTAGCTTAGAATGGGGCTGAGCAAGATTTTCATCATAATGCAAAAAAAAGTACAAATATCGAGAATGTTTGAAGGCATAACCTTAAAATAAAATCAGTGCTTCCTTTTTTCTTTTCTGTTACTTGAAAAACTCAGTGGGTCTTTCTGTCTGAGCAAGACATAAATATCAATGAAGAATACACAGCAATAACTGCAAATTCAGATACTTTCCCTTCTGAGCAATGTGAAGGACTGATGTATTCTCCATTACATTAGACACACCAAAAAAGCATCACTCCCAACTTGCTGTGATTGTTAAGAACAATCAGTAGGTTTTGAAATGAGTGAATGTTATTGTTGTTGTTGACATTTGAAAATGCCTGGAGAGAGCTGTATTGGCAATTAGACACATTCAGCTGTCTAATCTCCTCAAATTTTTACTTTGCAAGGGGAATATTGGCATCATTTGTTTTTTTAATCTAATCTGGCCAAGAGCTTGCTGAAGCAGAAACAAGCATTGTGAGCACATTGTGGCTGAAAAGCAGCATTTCTGATGAAAT